GAAGTTGGTGCCGCTCGTCAGAGGGTAACTGGCGTAGATGATCTTCGTAACGCATTCACACCCGCACTGTTCACAATTTCCGATTGTCGATGAAGTTCTAAGGCATCCGGTTGTGGGTTGAGTCAAAAACACAACAGTCGTTGTTCGCCTAATAAGGCACATTTTTCGGTGACTTTTTCTCTGTCACTGGGCTAACCTAGTGTTCTTCGAAATGAACACCACAGTGACGAATACTGCAAAGTGCAGACCGAGATTAGATCCCTGAACGAATTGCCGTCCTTGGGGCTATTCATACTTATATATTTAGCAAATCGAGGACTCACGGCGTATCGCAGTTCACTATTTGTCAATCCGATTAAAAAACTCGCACAACAACAGCTCAGCAAGGAGCGTCCGTACCGTATAAATAGCCATGTGATGTTTCATTCAGTTGGCACCCTTTAAAAGGGCGTCTCTACACAACAGCAATTGACAGTGCATTCCACTAAGTTCTGTTCTCGCTTGAAAGCTTGACAGACCAGTTCAACTTAACACATTGAATAGCAAACATCATCTTCAACACTAATCGCCCCTGCCACCTTACAAGGATTTCTTTTCTGTTCAAGCTTCTTCGCCAAATTATCGACAAAAAGCTCTTTGAGTTAATCGTTGATATTTTCGCAACCTTTGCGGGTGACGCCCTGAAGCTGTCTGCCAGACGCCATGTGTCTCCAATCCAGTTTCGCCCCATTAACCCACCAGATCGATCTGGCTATAGGAGACGGTGAGTCAGAGACCTATGGATGCAGCGCCAATCGTTTGCATGGCCACAATCGTAGCGTTGCATCCTCTTGACACCAGATGGTCCTTGATTTCCTATTTTTAAAGGTATTCCAAATTAAATAAGGGTTCCGTGCAAAACTCGTTCTATCGCTACTCTCTCACATTGCATCCTGTCTTGCCCTTTGTGCTGGCTTTATACTTGTGTGATATATTTATCATATCTTTTAAACAACTGATCAGTTTGAGCTATTCAAGACAAATAACCTCAATCAGCTAATGTTTGTGCTTTACCCCTTGTTAGAGCCTGAAAAAAACCAAACTCAAAGGATTTTTTCCTCTTAGAACACTCTAATCGTAAAGGCAAGGTCCGGTACTCTTAGTAAAATTATCAGAAATTAAGCTTCCCTGAGAAAAATACAGTGTACGCAAGCGGGGAGCATTTACACAAATATTGGGTTGATTTGACAATGCCGAAACGCTTAAGGCCTAGGAATACTCAAGCATTTTGTACCCGCCACAACACAATTGACTCCCATAAACAATCAGTCTTTTCCGGGGGGGGTCACGGTTTCGCCCGCTTCGGAGAAAGGAGAATTTTATTCTCGTTCTAAACGATTTTTCATTACTTACGTGACATTCCACTGTCACTCATAAGCGTAATGACACATCAATTTGATCCCAGACCTTGCTTTTAACAGCAAGAAGAGAGTTTCATATCCTGAGTGAATCACCTAACGGTACAGATCGAATATATGCTGTCTAGATTTGTCACATTTTCGCTGTCATGCTGCGGGAACAATCTCCTCTATACTTTCTGTTAATGCTAAAAGAGAGCGCTCCCACATTCACCCCCTCAACCTCGACCTCGACCTACATCTCTCACAATTCCTCCTACTCACGATCCACCATTTTTGGGCAGAAGGTGGGATGTAAGGATTCCCAATTAACCAACCATCCGTCGAGTTTTCGCAATGCTAACATTTATTTCATCTTGAAATTGTAGGTTTCTAAGCTTTAGGAAGGAAATTATCGTTTAACAAGGTCAAAAAATGACCCAACATTTTCCTAGATTTCTTTTTCAAGAGGTGGTTCAACGGTGATCATAAAAAAGTAAACTTTGTCAACCCAAAAGCCCAGCCTACATAATCCACTCTCCATTCCAT